TTTGTATTTTTATAAGAGGATATATTCATTTTATAATGTTAACAAAATTTAAAGAAAAGACTCCCCAACAAGTTTTTTTTTAAGACTGAGGACTGAGAAGATAAAAATCAAATTTCAGAGATGAATGCTTAACATTAAAAATTATTTCTCCTTCATGGGACTACCCTGGCAGTCCAGTGGTTAAGACCCCATGCTTGCAATGCAGGGGGCAACGGTTCGATCCCTGGTCAGGGAACTAAGATCTCTCATGCCGCAAGGCGTGGCCAAAAAAATAAAAATTTATTTCTCCCTCAAATATAGTTAATTTATTTTTATTCAGAAAATGACAAAGGTATTTATATCATGAGACAGAAAAATCTCCCAATTGTATTCAAGTAACAGAATCTTGACCCCTCTCACAGAATGCTTCTGGTTTCCAGGGAACAATTTTATCCCTGTTCCATAACCCAGGCTCCTGAACCAAAAGTCTCATCCTTCTCTATTTCCTCATTTTTTTCAGGTTTTACCTGAACCAATTCTAGCTCTAATTCAGCACCTCAACAATAAATTGATCTAACCACAGGTTGAACCATTACTGTAGTTGCCCAGGAAAGGAATCTTTGTCTTTTTGCTCTATGTCTTAGTAAACGCCTTTCATTCTTTTTTTTTTTTTTTGCGGTAAATGGGCCTCTCACTGTTGTGATCTCTCCCGTTGCGGAGCACAGGCTCTGGACGCGCAGGCTCAGCGACCATGGCTCACGGGGCCAGCTGCTCCACGGCATGTGGGATCTTCCCAGACCGGGGCACGAACCCGTGTCCCCTGCATCAGCAGGCAGACTCTCAACTACTGTGCCACCAGGGAAGCCCCATTCATTTATTTATTCATCCAGTAAGTACTTTTAAAATGTCTACAATACACCAGACACTAAGTGAAGTCCTGAGTACAGAGATAAAAAAGTACTGGTCACAGCCTCAGGAAGCTTATTAGAGGAAAGGAAGTGTTCTAATACCTAACAATAACTGCTCTAAGGAATCCCTGTACCAAGTATAGTAAAAACACAGAAGTATAATCTAATCCTGGCTGAAGGAAAAGTCTTCATAGACATCCCTAAAATATCCAGAGTAGTTCCTTCCTCACTGGCACTTTCTTCCTTTCCTCTCAACCAAAATATGACTCTCCCCACTTTGAAAATACTGCTTAAAACTTACCTCCCACTTCCTCCCCACAAAGCTCCACTTGTTCCTAAATGCCATGTAATTCTTAAAGAAAACCAAACAAATCTGTGAAACTCAAAAGCCAGCAAGGAAGGAAGAAAGAGAACACTCACTGAAGGCCAGCCCTACACAAGTACCAGAGAGAGCAGGTACTCAGATCTTTTCTTATTGTGCCTAGCTCCGATTGTCTCTACTAACATATATCATTTGCATTTCAATCTACTTCCCACTGGAAACTGTGCATTTTTCAAAGATGAAGACTTAGACTGCTACAGCTTTTAACGTCCACAGTGACTACATATATATTCCTAGGTATAATCAACTGGTTAGGAGGTAGGAGTGGGCCACAGCAGGTGGGGGAATAACTCCTGCAGACTTCAGTTGTTTTAAATGAATTTCAATTGCCAACTGGTGCCAGTGGATTGAATACAACATAAATTTCCCAGTTTGTTTTTTTTTTATCTTTAACTTAATGCAACCAAGTGTAGAAACCTCAGCCAAAGTATATTTAAAGTTGGATTGATGTTTTTTAAAAAAGAAGCTTGGAATAAACAATTTTATCTCCAGCAACCTCAGAGAGTTGGAAGGAAAAAGCAAACTGCAAATAAGTTTTGGATGAATAATGTTCTCAAAAACCAGGCAATTCTCAAGAAAGACATTAAGTATACACAAACTATATATTTTAAGAGAAAATACAGATAGATAATGAAAAACAAAAAGAGGTGGGGACTGTTCAAGATTAAAAGAGAATAAAGAGATAAGAATCAAATACAGTACATGAAACCTGACTGAATCCTAAATCCAAAAAACTCAAAAAAAAAATGTTTAGGGACAACTGGGGAGATCTGAATATGGACCATTATATTAAACATATTCTTAAATTAATGTTAATTTTCTTATATAAATATTGATATTATAATACAGAAAATTATCCATATTCTTAGGAAATGCATGCTTTAAAATTTATATTCTATATTTATATATTATAATATAAATATAATATATATTTTTAATATAGTTTCCAGCAGTTTTTAAAATATGTAAATATATAAAGAGAGAGAAGAGGTAGCAAAAATTAACAGTGAGTGAATACAGATGAAAGGTAATATGGATGTTCATTGTCCCGCATTTTCCATTTTTTCTGTAGCACTGAACATTTTCAAAATGAAATACTGAAGGGGTGGGAAGATGGCTTGAGAAGATGCCAGCTTGACAGAAGCATAAGGGGTAAAAGCAGCACTAGCCTTAGCAAACTTGAAAATCAACTGTGTGATCTTGGGCAGGTCATGGAAGCTCTCTAGGTCTCAGCTGAAAGAAGAGGAAGTGAATGATCTCTAAGGTAACCTTCCAGCTACAAAATCCCATTATTCAACTACTTCTCAGCTCTAAAACTCAAAAGATAACCATATGCAAAGAGGGAAAACTCACAGGACTGTAAAAAAAATAAAGTATTTAAAACAGCTAGCCAAATGCTTGTCACAAACAATAAATATTAACTCCTCTTTTGAAAACACTGTAAAACTTCAGCAAAAAAAATACAAAAGAAAGATATGACTACTAATTAACTTAGAAAAAATAAGTAACACAGAAGTGGAAAGGTCTACTTTAATATCTATTCAATTTCTATTGAGTTAAAAACTGTGTTTGCACCTAAAGTAAAGCAAAACAAACAAAACTAGTACATATTACAAATTTGTCAGATGCTTTTATTTCCAGCACTAATGTTATTTGTAGCATTATAATTAATTTCCCTTTTGGTAAAACAACTAATCCTTGAGATAATGGGAAAGATAATTATCTAAAAGGATTCTGTACCTGATGCTAGCATTCACCCAGTTGCTCAAAACCCAAAAATCATGGAGTCATCCTTGAGTAACACTCTTTCCACACCAAAAATATCCATAGCTTTTGACGAAAAAAAAAAAGAAAGTCATCTCAAATCCATCCATCTCGCTCTTGTTGCTAGCATCTTAATCAGGGCACCACTCTCTCTCACCTTAGCTCCTAAAATTGCCAGCTTTCAGTCCCAGCCCACTTAGTCCATTCCTCACATAGTAGCTAAAATGATGATATTTAAGAACAAAACAAACTACATGCCAAACCGTTCAAAGCCCTGAATATATCTATAACTTCTTCCTACCCATCTCCGTCTCTCCTACTATGTCAGCCACAATGCGTTTTTTTTGAATTCCTCAAATTCACCAAGCTCTTTCCTCCTTCAAAGTCTTTGTACCCACTATTCCTTTTTTTTTTTTTCCACCCAGGTTTATTGAGATATTATTGACATATAAGATATGTAAGTTTAAGTTGTACAATGTGATAATTAGATGCATGTATACATTGTAAAATGATTATCACAATAAAGTTGGTTAACATCTCCATACCTTCACATAATTACAACTGAGTGTGTGTGTGTGTGTGTGTGTGTGTGTGTGTGTGTGTGTGTGTGTGTGGTGACAGCATTTAAGATCTACTCTCTTAAAAACTTTCAAGTATATAATACAGTATTTTTAATTAGATTCACCATGTTCTACATTAGATCCCCAGAACTTACGCATCTTATAGCTAGGAGTTTGCACTCTTTGACCAGCATCTCCCCATTTCTCCCATTTCCCAGCCTCTGGCAAACACAATTCCACTCTCTATTTCTATGAGTTTGGCTTTTTAAGATTCCACATAAAAGTGAGAACACACAGTATTTGCCTTTCTCTGTTTGACTTATTTCACTCTTCCATTCCTTCAAATAAGAATGCTTTCCCCACCAAAAATATCACCACCACCATGCCCCCCCACACACACACACACCCTCCTTGAAATAGCTCCTTCTCATATATAGGTTTCACCTTAAATACCAACTCCTTAGAGGAGTTTTTTGTGACCACCCTATCTGAAGTAGTTCCGGCCACCTTATCTCCAAGTCATTTGCTTTCCTTCAAAAAATTTACTGCAATTCATAATTATTTTGTCAGTGTAGTTTTTAACCTCTCCCATCCTCTAGAATATAAGCTATAAAGATAGGATATCCAACTTATCTATCATTATATCACCAGAACCCCCAGGAAATTCTCTGATCCTTAATACAAGCCTATTAATGTGCATCAAATAAATGAATAAAATAGTAAGTGAATACAGGACTATATATTAGATAATGGACTAATAATGTTATTAATGGAAATATGAAAACCAGAAGGAAAAGTAAGTGTTTAAGAAGAAAAATAAAATACACTGAGTTTGGTACAAGGCAGTTGAAAATATGGGACTGGTGGGCACACAGGTCAGGAAAGAGATACAGAGTTGGCTTCTGCTGACTGTAAGTGTTAGTTGAAAAAAATAATAACTAAATCACAAATGGAATAGAATGCAGTAGGATAAATGCCAAGCAAAAAAATAAATAACACAAATATAAAATGATTGTAGCCTGCCTAGGTAGGAGAATAACATAAAGAACACTATAAAATTAAGACAAGTCAAAACTGTTTTCACAGTTTCAGAGGAAAAAAATATATATATATGTATATATATATATATATATATATATGTATTAATATATGTGTGTGTATATATATATATATATATATATATA